GGGGGGGGGGGGGGGGGGGGCTCACCCTGACTATGGGGTTCAAGGCCAATGAGGAAGGTCCTTTGGTGAATGGCCATGTTGATATCTATCTGCTTGCTGTCTTAGCTAATATATGGTCTTCCCTTGGTCTTTTTCCTGGGACAAGGAAAGAGGGAGGAGAATTTGACTTGGGTTGGGGGGGAACCCACTCAAGGAGGAGGTGATAGCTGCCAAAACCTGTTTTTCCATGGAGACCAATTCAATATTCTTTATCCTGCCAATTTTCCACGCCACAGGTTTTCAGGCCTTCTGACCATGAGGCAAAAGTGTAGCCTGAACTAAAATCTGCATTTAGGTTAATGACTAGATATAAATTCAAGAAACATTTAAACTATTTTCACAGTATTGGTTTTGATACATGAATTTCATTTGTATTTATTCTAGGGTGTTATTTTTTCCCCATATAGTTCCTCTCAAGTACAACGATTGTTGTGTATAATAATGCATTTTCCATCACCTGTTCCCACATCCATGAAATTCCTGCATTTGAGTGGAAGCCTGCCAAGACTAAGACTTGGTGGCAAAAAAATTAATGCCATACTTAATGCAGGTCCCAGAAACTCTTTTTCTACTTTTCTTCTTTACTTTCTCAATTCAGTCTCTCTTCTTTCTTTCTTTTCCTCCTTCCTTCTTTCTTTCCCTCAAAACATATTTTACTGCTTAATTCCTTTGGACATTTGCCTAGAGTTTTGTATCACCTGATGAGGACGGGAATACTAATTGTCAGAGGAAACATCAAAAAAGGACAGGAATTTAATAATTCTTTTTCCATTAATGTGATATCCTTATCTCTTTGGTTTCTTTATTAATCTATAATCGAATTTCACATAACTGGTTCTACAGAAATCCCATTGACCTGAAGCAGATTTTTTTTTAAGAAGTGAAAATCCATTTTAAGCTCATTACTTTATGTGTCTTTTGCCTTTATCTCTCTCCTAAAAGACAAGAATGATTTTCATTTTAAGGAGAAAAAAAATTCTCATTCATCAGTCTAAAAGAAACCCTGTCTTATCCCAGATTACCACCATGGGATTTAAAATTCGGGTTGGCCTTGTTCTTGGTTTCCTGCTTTTATAGTGTAGATGGGGCAAATCGTGGCAAATAGTTAAGTGAAAACTCTCCCTGCTTTTGGCTTAGCCACCTTCAGGGAAAGAGTTTGTACTGTGTACCTGTTTTCACTCCCAAAGTGAGACGATTCTTTAGGAATACCTTCCCCAAACTGCAAGGACAGACAGCCTATTAGTACACCATTCTCAGTTCATGTGCCAGCTGCTATGTTTACCCTTCTTTTATGCAATAAAAGTTAAAATTATAATGAAATTCCCCAGGTTCAGACAGATCTCAAAATAAGTTTCTTAAGCTCAAAGAAAAATTAAGTCACGTGCAGTTTGATTTTAGTGTTGAAGAGGCCATTTTGTCCCTGAATTTCAGGTGCAAAATTTAGATCGGGACATGCAGAATGCTTTCTGAAGAAGATAGACCATGCTTCGTATTTAACGAAGAGAAAATATTTTTAAATTTTTTTTAACGTTTATTTATTTTTGAGACAGAGAGACAGAGCATGAACGGGCGAGGGGCAGAGAGAGAGTGAGACACAGAATCGGAAGCAGGCTCCAGGCTCTGAGCCATCAGCCCAGAGACCGGCGCGGGGCTCAAACTCATGGACCGCGAGATCATGACCTGAGCTGAAGTCAGACGCTTAACCAACGGAGCCACCCAGGCGCCCCGAGAAAATATTTTTAGAAATTGTAAGACATTTCCCTAACATCTCGGTCAATCAAAAATTCAAATAGGAAATTATGGAAGTCCTCTCTGGATATGATACTGGAGAATTCCTTCCATTTAGGACGTGAATGTATTGTTCGGCTATGGTCCTACATAAAGGACCTTTGTTGTAAATTCAGGCGTTATATCAAGGGTCAGCTATGATTCTGAATGAGAAACAAAGTGGCTACTTAAGGGCAGGCTCTCAGCCTTTGTGTTACAGGGCCAGGAATGGGTATCCTTGTGCTTCTCTGGAAGGTTGCTTCGGCAACCACAGATGTACAGATTTTGGTGATTTTTAATGTTTATCTCCTCTATATCCTGGTCCTAGTTTCCTCCCTTTGCTGCCTTTCCCTCTTTTTTTTTTTTTTTTTTTTTTTTTTTTTTTTTTAATTTTTTTTTCAACATTTATTTATTTTTGGGACAGAGAGAGACAGAGCATGAATGGGGGAGGGGCAGAGAGAGAGGGAGACACAGAATCGGAAACAGGCTCCAGGCTCTGAGCCATCAGCCCAGAGCCTGACGCGGGGCTCGAACTCACGGAGCGCGAGATCGTGACCTGGCTGAAGTCGGACGCTTAACCGACTGCGCCACCCAGGCGCCCCTGCCTTTCCCTCTTAATGGAGCAAATGCCGACTTGATGACTCTCTTATTTCTTGCCCTGCATCCCTAGGTCTTTGGGAAAGGCCTGGGGGGCTCTGGGGAGATGCCTTGCTGGCCCCGGGACATAGAGCTAGAACTGAAGGCGAGGGGTTGTGGCGCGTGCAGACGGCGGGTACTAGTCAGTGTGCAAGTTGACAGCATTTCAGGTGGACCATTGGAGTTGTTGATGGATACAGCTTCATAAATATCTTTGGGCCTTTCTGCCTGTGACTGCCAAGGCAGGGATGTAATATGCATCAACATATGTGGCAGGGAGGGGGAGGGAATGGGAGGGAAGCCATAAGTATTCCCTTCATCACCTCGGGTCATGTCACTCTGTATTGTCCCCAGTCATGTCATATTAGCAGTGTTCCTATCACCACTTCTTCTTGATTGGAGACTCAGGGTAGATTTGGACAGCGGGAAGCCCAGGCACAACAAATGTACATAATGAGCACGTTGGCATTTTAGGACCAACTGGATATTTTGAAGTTGCTGCCAAGTTTATGCGTTCAGATCTTTCATTGCCAATGTGCCTAAGCAGCAGAGGGATGGCCCAAATGAAGTCTGATTGTATTACATACTTGCATTTTCCACAGACTGACTCGAAAGTCATGCTGAATTCTAGTGCAGGCTTGTTTATAAATGTGGAAGCTCCGAAAGCAAGGATTTGCAGATCCTTGGCTGTTTTACCAAATGGATTCTGGGACTTGAATCCATCAAGTTATGGTTGTATAATTCATAGATAGTCTAAAAAAAACCTACTAAGAGAAGAAACACTAATTTTTAAAAAAATTTTTTAAAATGTTTTTATTTATTTTTGAAGGAGAGAGAGAGAGAGCATGAGCAGGGGAGGAACAGAGAGGGAGGGAGACACAGAATCTGACGCAGGCTCCAGGCTCTGAGCTGCCAGCACAGAGTGCCAAGCGAGGCTCGAACTCACGAACTGTGAGATCATGACCTGAGCCGAAGTTGGACGCCCAACCGACTGAGCCACCCAGGTGCCCGAAGAAACACTAATTTATTAAGATGGCCCCTGGTCTCCCCCGTTTTAGAGAATAAGATAACAGTGAATAATTATTAAAAATAGTTTTGTACCAGCAAGGAAGGGTTCAGAGCCCTGCCCATCCATGCACGCAGGGGAGGGCACCGGGTTTGAAACCAGACTGTCTTGGGTTGTGACTAAGTAAACCACGTCTCATCGTGTCATGGGTAAAATGGGTGTAAAGAAGGTACCATCCACAGAGTCACAATGAAGAAGAAATGAGCTACTACATACAAAAGTTGTAGAATAACAGTTGGCATATATTATGTTCTCAATAAACGTCAGCTATCATTCTCACTGTTCATATTGTGCATGAAGATTTTGAACTCATCAGTTTATCAGAATTAGAGCTCACCTTTATAAATATCTTTTCCCTTTGGAAATAATGTGGACACAGGCAACTGTGTTCTCCATATTTATATTTTAACTGTATTTTCTGATTTTATTTTGCTCATTCTTACAGAGTAGCTTGAAGGAAGCTCCTAGCTAACTAACGTGATCATTAGAAGAGGTTTCATGACTTAAAAGACAAATAGGCCACTTAAAAAGATTTCAGGCTGGAGGACATCAAAAAGAAGAATGGAAAACTTGACTTTACCTGCTTGTCTTGGGCTTCCTCATACTCGATTATTTATAGAGAAATTTATGAAGAAAGCAGCGTTTGGCCTGTGAGGCCAGGGTTGGTCATGGCAGACCAGCGAGAGGAGACCTTTCTAGCATATCAGACTCATTCTTAGTTTACAACATTTGTTAGGTTTCCACAAGGACGCCCATTTTGGTGTTTAATTCCTGCTTCATGTCAAAATATTGTGAGTGACTCTATCCCACAGTTGCTGATTTGAGAGT